CGTCGGTAAAAGTCATTCAAATATGATGATTGTTTGGCACTTTTCGTGACACAAATTTGCATGGGCAAAAAATATACTTTTAGCAACAAAATATGCGTCGGCAAAAGTAAACTTTTGGTGACACATTTACTTCAGTAAATGTTGTCATTTGCCTACGATTTGTTTGTCGATAAAACTTCACTTTTGGCAACGACAGATTAGCATTGGCAAAAAATACACTTTTAGCAACACAATATGAGTGGGCAAAAGTAAACTTCTGGCAACACATTTACGTCGGTAAATATTGCCATTTGTCGACGATTTGTTTGTCGATAAAGGTTTACTTTTGGCAACGACAAATTGGCATTGGCAAAATATACACTTCTGGCAACACAGTGAGTGGGCAAAAATAAACTTTCGGCAACAAATTTACTAACAAAAATAATTGAAAATAATTTATATATTTTTATAAGATTTACAAATTTACAAGAGGCATCCCTCAGGCACCACTATTACAAACTAATAAGATTGATATGAAATCACCTAAAGTTGATGTGCAAGCAAAAAAAACACTACTGATATTGCTTTTAGAAGCAATGTATAAAACCTAAAAGGGTAAAGTCACTAAAATACCCTAATACATCCAAATTGTGAACCCACATTAGAAACAACAGATAACAAAATGAAAACATGAAACTAATAAATACAGGCAAAACGGCATGAAAGTCACCCACAAACTTATCCAGCAGACCAACATCTAGTAGCAGCCGCCTCACAGCAACATGGCAATAGCAGCAGCCTAGCAAGCATCAGCCATGAGGGTGGCAGCAGCAGCAGACCAACAAGCAACAACCATCAGCCACCAGCAAAAAAGAAGGATCTGGTAGCAATCTGTATTGATCAATGACAAATTTAAAACAAAGTCCATTAGCTTTTTTATTGATCTGGTAGCAGTCTCTGTGTGTATGTGTGTGTGAGTTGATAGATATGCAAGCGCAAGTACTGGCCAAAACATAAAGCTTTTACCATCATCTGGTAAAAAATAAAATAAAATAAAAACCTTTGATTTCCAACTATACTAAAACCATCAAAGTAGCAGTAGATCCAATGCATTCTACACTCCAGTGAAAAAAAATGTTGTCCAAGTTACAAATCATTCACTTGCAGCAATGGCAATAATTTACACAAGGCAAACTAGTTTCAGATTCTCTACTAATATTCAGAGAAGGTCCATTTCAATAATTTCTTATATGGAAGGCATATGCATTATCTCTGCAATATGTACAGAGGTTTCAGATTCTATGATATTAAAATACAAAACTCCTAATCATTATCAAGTTCACATCATTCAATAATTTGGTAACAAGAAGAAAACAAATAAAATGATTGCATTCAGTAAGAAACATAAACTTAAAACTATAGGTAAGAGGCAACCATACTGGTGATCAGCAAGTAAAAAATGGCACCCACAATGAGCTAATTCCTACGTTTAAAGGAAGAGAGATTAATAGTATAAATCTATATTGTTTTTTCTTTTATTAATATATCCTATTTGTTCAAAATTATAATGTGTTTCATGTCTTTCCAAGTAATGGACATGTGTGTCCCCCTTATAAGTTCACATGGTTTCAAATATATAATCACTTTCAACGTTTTCTAGTTTGTTTTCTTCACTGATTAAAACATCAGAGGGTTTGACCTATTTCTGCTTGCTGCTGCAATCAGCAGGTTTTGACCATCAAGACATGAATAACAACTAGCAAAATTGTGACATTAAGATTGTGTTTGGGACTAGGATTTGAGTGGGGATTAGTGGTGGGAAAGGAAAAATAAGGGAAATGTGACCAAAATACAATTTCTATTTTATTTATTTTGCCTTCCTTTCTCTCTACAAATCCTTCAAGCAAACATAGCCTAAGGAGGGGAGTTTTCAGTGTTAAACAATTACCACCATATCACACCTTGATCATCAAGAAGTTTTCCTATGTCACTAATTTCTCTTTTAGAGTTATTTATTTTATAGTTATTATCACCATCATTATTATTTTTTCTTGTTTTCTTTGGTTTTATATCCTTCTAGGAGTAAAGCGACTAAAGTTTCCAAAAAACTACAATGTGGGCCTCAGGATCAGGTGAGTAGGTCCATGACCAATTTACCTACCATTAGCCCATCCAACTTTTTTTACATTCGCATTATCTATGAATTTTCAGAATGAATAGATAGAACAATATTATAAAAACAGATACCAAAGTATTATTTTTAACAGTCATGGTACTTACAGGGGTTAGGGAAGGAGCATCAGGAGGCAGCTGGTAATTCTCAACCCGTGTAATAGAGACTGAAAGATCAGCAATTGTGGATCCCTGAATCAAAAAGGCCAAAAATATAAAAATATAAAATAAATCTAAGGGTTAATAGAAATTTTGAAATGGCACCCATTTGCATAAAAAATATTTCTAAAGATTGGGAAGCTTACATATCAAAGCTTCCCATCATGAGGCTTAAAAAACTGTTCAGGTGAGACCTTGCGGTTCACATGACAAAAAATTTCCAAGGAGTGAGCCCCTAACTGAGAATTTTTTCTTTGTAAGTAAAGTTTTGTTATCTTCTTTTCTTTCTGTATTTTTTTTTGCGTACATCTTTATTAAACTGAATATTTTAGAAATTTCCTAATTTTACAAAATATAAGGCACATGTTTCATACATTAGGGTTTCATGCCTTCCGGATACGTTTGATTTCTACAACTTTGTACAGAACTGCATCGTTCAGTCAAAATCTTTTTATTTTAAAAATTAATAATGAAAAAATTGAGATCAAGACTGATATAGAAAATCAATTGACATACTGTCAAAAGCATAGTTGTATCTGCTCCGTGTGATTCCTTGAAGGTAACGTATGCAAGCTAAGATGTTTCAGTTTCCCTGCAGAATGTGCCACAAACTCTATGGAGCATTGATTATGTAAGAAATTCAACACTGGGTAAGTCAAGAGAGCTGACCTTTGCATTTCAACATACTGGATATCACCAGAAAAAGAGAAGAATTCCTTAATATCCTTCTCAGAGGTAGCTAGTGAGATATTACTGACTTTAACTATTCTTACCTATGAAAAAAAAAAGAACAAAAAGTAAAAGAATAGCTAAGTACATGTAATCACTAAGAAAATGTGATTACGAAAAAGAAATATTCAAATTGCATTAACTGAATTTTGAATGCGGCGTGGTTCTTGCCACTTGCAAAACAAAATTTAAAGAAATCAAAACTAGTTAAATTGGCAGATAATAGATTCACGCAAGACAGAATCTTAGTCACTTCAACAGAGTCCAAAATTCTGTGCTCATCATCTTGGTGACATAAGGGGGACACACATATCCGAATATAGGAATTTGAAGACAAAAGTGCAGTCATTCACACTGATACCTAATTCATAAAAAGAAGTTCTTATAAGCACCAACTAGTGCTTTAGTCATTCACACTGATGTCCGGTTTATGAATAAAAAGAACTTATAAGCACCGACCAGTGTGCACTTTTAGTAAGTATTTTCCTCACATCTGAAATGTTAATTGTCCAGTTTGGAGTACTGCTTGGTGGTGCATCTGTTCCAATCTTTGAATTGGTATGAACCATGGGGACCTGCACATCACAGACCCAATTAGGTTCTTCTCAGGGAAGAAATAACACAAAAGTGCAGAAACTTACATGTAAATGACACGGTAGGAAGTGGATACATGATACATGATTTACATTAACACTTTGACTAGCCATACTTGAAAATGATATAAAGGGGTAAAAAAGTGCAAGGAACTTTGATAGACTACAATGCTTAGTACATACCGCAGTGATGCATCAAGGCTAACTGAAAATTCATTTTCAAAGATAAATGCAAGTGACAGTATTGGAGAGCAAAGTAATGATTGATGGGCCCCTTTCCTAAGGTCTTAAATTTTCGAGACTACTGGTGATTATCTAATTAGGTTTCAAACCGCAGGTTAATAAAGGTCTTAGGTTCAAGTTCTATATATGCATTTGTTTCCTTGTTTGCATTTTGTTTCTCCACATGTTAGGATGTTTTCATCTCCACATGCAAGACGGGATTGCACACGACGAGGGTGTCGGAGAGCTTAATATGCATTGTTGGGCCTCTTTCCACACAACTTGACCTTTTGGGATTAGTATCGATCTAACAGAAGTAACATATAAGGTTGAATTCATCAATAAGCTAGGTGTTATATGAGCAGGCCCTCGAAAAGTTAGATATCATAATAAGTTGATAGCATGCATTATGAGATGCAAATAAAAAATAAAATAAAAACTATAAAATATAAAAATTATAAAATTATAATCTGTAAATCACTTAAATATACTAATCAATTCAAACATTCTGAATTCCATAATTTCATTCATATTTCTTATGCTAATGAAATAAAAGAGAAACATTTACCTTAATAATCACTTGATTTCAAGAATCAGGGCCTAAAATGAATAGATGAGACTAGAATCCAATCTTTATTGAACAAATCTAACCTAAAACAGAGTAGATAATTACAGATACACCAGATTAGCAGAGCAGAACAACATATACAACAGATACACCAGAACAGAGAATAGCAACAAACTGTTCAGCTAAAATTACCAAGAAGTGGCATATAATTACCTTTAGAAGCATGGACTAGAATAAAAATTAAAGATTTCTTCTTTTCCAATTCAAGAAGTGTGTTTAAGCAAAAATACAAAAGAATCAAGTTCCAAAATTTCAATTGACGATGAGGAGGGGGAAAAAACCTTAAAATTAAAAGAGAGAGCCAAATTTACCTGTCCGGAAAAGCTGCAGAGTTGAAAGGGCACATATGAATGGCCTGTTTCAAATTTACATTGCTATAGAGTAATTTCTTGTTACTACTATAAATGACAGTTGGCCTATCTGATGCAACAAATTCATGTGTTGTATTCTTTGATGAGAAAGTGTGGAGTGTTATAGGCTGGGTCCCAAGGGACAAGACAAAGGACATCCTGTGTTTCTAGCTCAGTCAAATGAGCTTGTTTTCTTCTTTTAGAGCGTCTAGCTGATTCTCTATTAGAAAGCATTATAAAAAACACAAAACAAATTAATTGAAGAAAATTGAATGTGGCAACAATGTGTATAGAAAGCACGAACAAAATGACCCGTTAGTGGAAAAGATGGACAAAATCATAGTTACAGTAAGTGTTTTGAATGCATGGCATTTAACATCTAACAGTCACTACATTTCATGCACATGTTGGTACAAAATTAAGCAAGCAAAGTGAAGACCACAAGACTGATCAATAATTCATCCTCTAACCGTGCAGCAATCCCTTTGGTCAAAGGTAGTCTCTTTTGATTTCTCAACCTTCTAGGAAATCAAAAAGAGGTCACCCCTCGTTACCAATCAACAGGAACTAAGAAATCTAAAGATGAATCTCAACATATCTGTTAACAACCACATACACCCACCACATGGTCTCGTGTGCATCACTCAACAAAAAGAAAAAAAATAGAACACATGCACCTAGAAAAAATACGGCTTGTAAGCTCTACAGATTCAATGTGCTCCAAAGAGTGGACCTGCAAACTCCAAAAACAAAGATTCAGCAATGGAAAAGGCACTTGTTTCAAAACCCTATGAAATAAAAATTTGCATCACGGTTTCAACATTATATTGAAGAGATTCAGCCCAAGAACTAAGATGTATGACCAATGATCCTAGCTTATTGTTCTCATCATACAAACACAAAAACCAGTATACTAGAGAGATGTGATTCAAGAATACTGTCAGAAACATTCTACAATTACAAAATTCCAGCTCATTTGCTTTATTTCCTCAAAGCAGTCTTAGATATCAGAAGCAAAATTGAATAGAAGCACTGTTTTATGATCAGCAATAGAATAGAAGTACTATTATATGCATGGATTTTAATTAGCCATTGCAAGCCTCAAGATGATGCTCATTGCTTACCATATGTAGTTCATTTTGTGTGATTTCTCTTGCAGAAATCGGAACACATCATCCCGGAAATATACCTACAAAAGTTCAAATTTTGGAATTGCTTGTCAATTGTTTGGGGGACAAAAGAAACCATGTAATTTACCACATAACCCCAGTACACTGTTATGAAAATTTTATACTGAAATAGAAAATAATTATTGATATGGGTAGCAACAAACCAACTTCTGCAAACACAAACAAAAATAAAAGAAACAAAATTAACCAACACACCAGCAGTTGCAAGGCTAGCAGCAATAGCTCGAAGTCGATCTGGTCTTTCTAGATGTGGATGTCACTTCAATTCAACCTAACTCCAGCATATAAACAACAAGAAGCAGACAAACAATAAAATGAAGGTCATTTATAATCAGCATAAGAGATCACTATGACTAATTATTGAATAACACACCACATATGGTTACTATTGAGCAATGACATTAATCAATTTGTATTGCATTAGTTAACCAATGTAAAATATAAAACCAGACCCTATATTCACTACCATAAATGCAAATCAACTGATTTTTTGAGTGAAACCTTCACCAATTATGCTAGTACACATTCAAATGCAAAAAATAAAATAAAATAATAATGATAACAACAACAACAATAAAAAAGAAAGCATAGCACATGAGACCTGCTCACTTGTTGGCTAATTTAAAGTTAGCTGTATAAAAAAAGAAAATGTGCACAATAGCAATATGAGAACTCTTAAACCTATGAAAAGGTTCCTCCATTCCATGAAACATCCTCCTGTTCCGCTCACTCCAAATTATCCACATAAGGCATAAAGCGGCCAAGAGCCACGCCTTCCTTCTCTTTCCCACCCTTTTATCCCACTAAGAGTGCATAAAATCTGCTCCCCCTCATAAGGAAAACCCAAATTTTACTTCGTAATGAGGTTCAAGTTAGGTAGAGAAAAATATTCTAACATTTATATCAGTCCACATTCCCATGGCAGCTAGCTGACTGCAGTTGGGATTTTCAACAATGGGATTTACATCAAGGCATGATATATCATACTCCAATTGTGCATGTTTCACTTCTGTTACTAATCCATCACCAATTTGTAGGTACACTAAAGGACCACCACCAGTAGCCAATAAAACCTATTAGGTACACTAAATGACTATCCCATCACCAATTTCTAGCTATTGTAGCATTAGTTTGCTCCTGGAAGATAAGGAGTTCCATTATGCATGAAGACTACTATATTATTCTAATTTCTTAACCAGAAGTCTAACAAATATCTTAACCACGAGTTTTCAACGTTCATATAATATTCAAATTCATTATAGGCTATGAACATATAATACAAATGAAAAAATATACCATGCATACACAGTCTAGTCTAAAAATAAGAATATACTAGTTGTTACCTTCCCCTCAACATGCATGCCCGACAGGTGCAACTTTACCCACATTCCGACAGGTGCAACTTCATCAGATGGATTGGCAGTATGCACGCCTCACAGCAACATTGCAGCAACATCAGCAGCCGCAGCAAGCATCAGCCACCAGGGCAGCAGCAGCAGCAGCCAGCATAATTAAAGATGAAGCCATTTTTTTTCCTTCTTTTGGAAACAAAAAATGAATTTGAAAACAAGTGGCATAGAATTACCTTTAGAAGCATGGACTAGAATAACAATTAAAGATTTCTCCTTTTCCAATTCAAGAAGTATGTTTAAGCAAAAATACAAAAGAATCAAGTTCCAACATTTCAATTGGCGATGATGAGGGGGAAAAAAATTTAAATTAAGAGAGAGAGCCAAATTTACTTGTCTGGAAAAGCGGCAGAGTTGAAAGGGCACATATGACTAACCTCTTTCAAATTTACATTGTTGTAGAGTAATTTTTTGTTACTACTGTACATGACAGTTGGCCTATCTAATGCAGCAAATACATGTGTTGTATTCTTTGATGAGAAAGTGCAGAGTGTTATAGGCTGGGTCCCAAGGGACAAGATAAAGGACAAAACCTGTGTTTCTAGCTCAGTCAAATGGGCTTGTTTCTTCTTCTAGAGCGTCTAGCTGATTCTCTATTAGAAAGCATTCTGAAGAACACAGAACAACGAGTATTCTAGGAAGAGAAGCAAAGAGAATGTACACATGCATAAATACTCGGCTAAAAGGTGATAAAAAAGAAACTAGACTTAAATTCAAATGCCATCATAACAAATTATGAATCATTATCTCCATTGCCACCAATCATTGTCAATTCCTTCTTTCCTATCCACAATGCAAATCTTGATTAGCCTTCATAGTCTACTGTTCACATCAAATTCATTCTTTCCTATCCACGACTACAAATACACTTGCAAATTGAAAGAGACAAATTAGCAAAAGAAGAAGGCAACTTTGGATAAGGTCATAATAAAAGCCATGAACAAACCATATAATAAGACGGAGGTTTGCCTCATGCAAATGGAACTTATAAAATTTCCTTTTCATGTTTCAGAAAGAGAGGGTGCTAAGAACTTACTCGGCAAGTTTCTCTCATTCCCTCAATTTGCTAAGGAGTCTTGATCTTCAAAATAGAAAATTAGATTTTAAACAAGAATTCAACAAACTGTCTAGTAAAAAAAACCCCAACTTGAATAGAAATTCAATTTTAACTTGAAGAACTATTTTTACATACAAAAGTGTACCTCAACAACATGCTGAAGATCACTGTTGGGCTCAATTTTGGGGATCCCCTGCAGTTAATAAGAATTAAGTTCAGTGTTTTTTACATTTATCAACAATATATATATATATATTTCATGTTACATTCCTAATTTAGTCATGAATTGGGTAAGTGTCAAAAGGAAGTGAAATAGCAATAGCAAGCCTAAGCCTACGTTATGGAAAAAAAATAAATAAATGAAACCTTAACAAAGTTTAACAAACAACTAAAAGAAGGATAGGAAAAGTTCAAGAAGGATAGAAAAAGAAAGGTATATAGTAGGTATATGTGCTGTTTCTCTATTGATTTATGAAACTACATGATTCCAAACATATCTTCATAAAACTGTACTACAAATAGTTTGATAATACAAATAGTTTTATCAAGCTATTTCCTACAATAATATAAATAGCTTGATAAAAATCTACTGTAAATACCTCAAGAAAGAATGTGCAACCTCCTATACTTTCGTATATTTCCTGGGCAACTAACATAAAACTTTTTAGCAAGACTCCAATCAAGAGAAGCGGGTGACTAGTCAACAGGTGTCCAACACCCAAACTACCAATCAAGAGAGGCATCTAACATTTAACACAATATCAAGACCCCACAGTACCTTGTCTCCTAACCACGGTCCTGACAAAACTATTTCCTATATATCAGGTGGTAGAGCCAGCCTTTAAACTTTTACCCTTTTCAATCAGCACCAGCATCACAAACACAAAATGTTAGGCTTATAAATCTTAGGATTCACAATCTCACAAGATGCCATGCTAAACAAGCTATGGTCAAACTCTTTTGGAACTTGACCTCACAAGCATCTAAAAGAAATTTTAGACTTCTCAAAATCTAACACAAATACTAGTATCTCATAGTGGGCAAATCCTTATGATGTAGCGAATATTAGGTCCTCAGCTAAAGCAAGGTGTGGAGGAGCAAGATATAGGCACCCTTATCCCCATTTGTAGATAGCTATCGATCAACCTACCACTGACTAATTGTTCAAGTACAACCAAAACTTCAATGAGATATCTACAGCTCCAAATGTACAAAATTTACCTCAAAATGTAGGGTTAACTGCATACTAAAAGTAAAATGTATAAAAGCAATTAATCATCAATGTTAAAATCTCAAACAAGTGTACTAATCAGTCAATTTAAAAATAAATAAATAAAGATTAACAAGATGCTCATGCCAGTGTACAAACTTTTCATGAAATAGATAGCATGCAAAACCACAACATAAGCTAAATAGAAAATTCAATATGCAAGTAGGGGTAACATGAGATTGAATTATGAATAATGCCATACCTAAATATTTTCTTGTCTGTTCTGTTTTCCCTTGTTCTTGCAGCCTTATGTATTTTTCATGTGCTTTTTGTTTCTCTATCTCTTCTCTGTGAACAAACAAATAATAAAAAAAAAATAGACATAAATCCAAAAAGTCAAAAGGTCATATACATGGCAGCCATGCAATCCAAAATTATTGCGTTTTTTGGATGGGATATATGCAGTTTACTTTCATACTTTTGAGAATGAGTATAAAAGAAAAAGTTTAGAGGTCTAATAATTTAGGGTAAATTACACTCACCTCCCGTGATATTTGAGAAAAATACAGTTGTAGATACCCCATTTTTGACTATCCTCAAGACTTGGACGTCACCATTGGAACACTTGGTGATTACCCTTGTTTGTGTTTGTCTTGAGTTCCTAGAGGTCTCGGTTGCGCACCTTGCCTCAGGATCTCTCGACTCGATCGTGTTGTGTCTGGTTTTGCACCAAGCACTTGTGTTTTGCCTTGGAGGGGCAGGGAATGCCTTGTGAGGCATCCCCACACATCACCGGCCATGGCTTGAGGCCACCGACCAGTGATTTTATGCCATCGGCAATGTATATTGCCGGTCGGCCATTTATTTTGCCAAAATGGCAATTTTGAATGGCCGATCACTGTTCATCTACTTTTGGTAGATATTTTGTGCCAGCTATCACAGCTGGCACCCACCTTTTCTCCCCTCCATACACGTGTATGGAGGGATCTCTCTCTTGACAAGCTTATTTGACAAGCTTTACAAGAGAGAGCTCTATAAGAGAGAGAGTCTCCTCTCTTGGATTTAGGGTTAGACAACATTTTTAGAGAGCTTTGACATTAGGGTTAGGAATTTGTATATATTCCATCTCTATATTTCCCTCTCTTGTTAGTGTGTGTGTTTTGTCTTACTTTTGCTCACAAGCACCCACCATCACACCATCCCTTGGAGCTGAGGCCTCTTGAGGGTTGTTTTGGAGGTTTTGAAGCTGGTTTCAACCTAAAGAAGCTGCTGGAGCTCCATTGTTGAAGAGGGTCTTCAAGGGTAAGAAGCTTGCTCCTTTTTACCCCTTTCTTGCATTGTATTTTTGCCTACCTTACAACTGCTTTTATGTTTAGTATATAAGATAAAAAGTTCTATTTTTAGGCCCTCTAAATGGTTTGTTTAGAGTGTTTTGTGATTTGAGGTTGTTTAACCCCTTTTGAGGCTTGTAAGGCTCCTTTTTGTGCCATATTGTGTGAGCTCCGGGACCATTGAGTTTGGACCTCCTCACCAATGAAATCTTGAGGGATTTTAGAGGTGGGGATGGTGCCTTGAGGTCCTAGGAAGGAGAGGGCCACCCCCTCTCCTTGTTGTCCTTGAAAAGGACCATTTTTTGGCCTCTTGAGGGAGCACCTAGCTTAGGCTCATGTTGACCATGCCTTAGCTGTTTTTTGTGCTTATTATGTCATAATATGCCTCTGTTTTTAGTTGGTTTTGGTACACCATGCTTGCTTAGCATACATGCCTTGTAATGCCATTTTGTTGCCCTAACATGCCTTAGGTTGTAAACCATTGTTCTAGCATGTTTTAGGCTTGGCTTTGTGAACTTTTCATGTTTACTTTGCCATGTTTAAGGTCTGTCCTTAGTTGTTTGGGTCGACTTTAGCATGCATTGCATAGCCTCTTTGCATTCTAGCTTGTAGGCTTCAAGTATGTGAGTGTATAGCATGCGTTCCTTGCTTTGATTTAGTGAGTTGGGGCCATTTTCCATGTCATTTCAGTCCACTTGACATGCTTATATGCTTGCATTTAATCCTCCTTCAATGTGTTTAAAGGTTGTTACCTTATGCCCTTTGTTTAGGTCTCGGAATATGCTTTCACTTTTTAGACCACTTAGATGCCATCTAAGTACATCCTTAGCTTTGTTTAGGTCTGCATTAGACCTATTTTAAGTCCCTTTGGCCTTGTGAGGCTTGGTTGACCTAGCCTTGGTTTACCTCCCCTTTGGCTTGCCTTAAGTCTTGGACCATTGTTGCATGTTTGGCCTATCATGTGCTGTGGCATGTTTAAATGACTTTGCATTTGGCATGCATTTCTCTTAGTTGGAATTGCCTAACATGTTGCACGCTTTGCATACTTGCATGCTTGAGTAACTAGCATAGTTGTCACATGCCTTGTATGCTTGTTTGCATTACCATGTTGCATGCCTAGTTAACATGCTTAGGTTGCATTGCATGCATGCTTTGCCTCTTGATTATCCATGATTGAGGTTGAGCTCCTCACTTGTTTGTTGGTTTGCATTGCATTTGAAATCAACATGCATAAATTGGTCTCTTGGGCCATCACGCATTGAAATGCGCGATTGATGGCCTGAGAACCAAGGACCATGTCCCTTTGAGTCATAAACATGATAAGGAATATGGTCGGTGCATACATTGCTTGAATTGCATTGCCATGCAAAGCCCTGTCCTCTGCTGTTGTCAAACAGATTCTGCAGGAACTTTTTGCCGATCGACTGCACAGAGTGCCGACCGGCAATCCATCTGTGGCCGATGGATTCATTTTTGGCCGATCGACACCAAATCACAGCCGATGATGATTCCCCACCCTC